GGAAACACGGATCCCCGTCCCGGGAAAGGGCCCGCTGGAAGGAAACACGGACGCGCATCCCGGGAAAAGGCCCCGGCGCTCACCCGAGATGACCTCGAGCAGCAGCATGAGCTTGAGGCCGTCGCGGAAATCCTCGTCGATGTTCTCGATCTGCGTGCCGGCCTTGCGCAGGTGCGAGTTGCACCACGCCGTGAATGTCTGCGGGAAGGGGCGGCGGGAAGCGCGTGAGGCCGGAGCGATCCCGGCGCTCCGAGGGCGCCGCGCGCCCCGAGGAGAAGCGGCGCTTCCYGCCCGGGAGCGGGCGCCGCCGCGGGAGCCTTTCCCGAGCTCCGAAACGGGATAAAGAGGGAGATTGCGCGTCTGCTTCTGGCATTCCCTTCCCACGGGAAAACGCTTGCCAGGCCCTGCGGGAGCACGTGGAGCCGGCGGCTCCGATCCGAAGCGCTTCCCGAAGCGGGAAGAGCGCAACACGGGGCCGGCTCCACGCGCCGAGACGCCCACGATCCCCGCGGCCGTTCCCTCCCTTTGGGATAAACACGAGCGGACTTTGGCCCCGGCGGCCGCTCCGGAGGCGGCCGCGCTCCCTGCGGGACAGGCGCCGACGGATCCCGCTTTTCCCACGGCTTTGCCGCGGGCACTGACCGGCGCCCTGGGAACGCGGCGCTCCGGGGAGCTCCGCGGGGCTCCGGAAGCGGCTCCCGCTGCTCCGGGACATCCCGGAGCAGGTGCTCCGGGGCGGATTCCTCGGCCCCTTTTCCCGTTTTTTTTTGGCGCTGCCGGGAGCCTTAATTGTTGTTTTCCCCTAATTTGCTGCCGGGGAGCCGCGGGAAGAGGGCGGCCGAGCGGATTCTCCTCATTCCTTGCCCTTATTTGGCTCGCGGGGAGAGAGGGGTGGGAGCGGCGGCAGGAAACGGCCGAGTGTCCCGTTCCCAGACACCTGGATCGGGGCCAGGGAGGAAGCGGGACAAAAGTTGGGCAGGGAAAGGAGGCGGCAGGTGAGTCACGGCCCGGCCATCCCGCTCCACATCCCCTCGGAACGGCGGCTCTGCCCTCTTCTCCCGGAGCCGAGTGGGAATCCCRCCCTGGAATTCTCCCCGTTAGGACTTGGGGTAATTCCCTGCTCCCAACAGGCGGGAAAAAGCCCCGGATCCAGCCCAACGCCGGCGTCTCCGGAGGTTTTTCGCCCTAAAACCCTGCAGCGCAGAGGCGAGAGCGAGGCAATCCCGGAGGGCGAAACCTCTGGGAATTTYGGGATGAAGCCCCCGGCGGAGGCTATGGCGGCTCCGCGGATGTTTCCTGCGGATGTTTTGCCTTTGGAAAAGGACCAGGAATGTCCCAGGCGGCCACGGCCGTCAACGCTCCCGGCGCGATCCCGGGATCCTCACGGGCGCCGCGGTGGCGCTAAGGACTTTCCCAGCGCCCGGTTTTCCGGGCGGATGCGGAAAGCGGCTTCCGCCCGGCYGCATAGCTGGCATTCCAGGAGCTGGGATTCCAGGAGCGGAGCCGGGATGAGGCCGGGATCCCGGCGCTCCGGCCGCACGCGGAACACGACGCTCCCTCCGCCGGCTCCCAACGCTAAGGGATCCTGCTCCACGGATCCGCTCCGGATCCTTGGCTCCCGCGGGCAGCCAACGGGAGGGTAATTAAATTAATTAGGGTAATTAAACCAAGGAGCAGCCGCCGCCACCGCGAACGGAGCCCGCGGCCGCCAGCGGGATCCCAATCCGGCCGCTCCTGATCCCGGGTCTGGGCACATTCCCGCGACAGCTCCGTGTCCCGCCACTCCCGTTCCCGGGATCTGGGCGCGTTCCCGGGACGGCTCCGTGTCCCGCTGCTCCCGTTCCCGGGATCTGGGCGCGTTCCCGGGACGGCTCCGTGTCCCGCCGCTCCCGTTCCCGGGATCTGGGCACGTTCCCGGGACGGCTCCGTGTCCCGCCGCTCCCGTTCCCGGGATCCGGGCGCTTTCCTATTCCCAGGATCCAGGCACTTTCCCGTGACGGCTCCACATTCCGCTGCTCCCGGGACACTCCCGGGACGTTCCCGGGATCCCGGGACATTCCCGTTCCCCGGC